TTTCCCACAGGGTTTTTCCCAATGAGGTTTTTAACGAGGTATCCCCCCAAAATGAAACGAAAAGCATCACCCCTCGGCTTCATATTGCAGACAGGCACTACTCTACTCCTTTTCACCACTTTGCAAGTGCCTCAAGGAGTGGGGGACTGGAGAACCCCTTCAGGAAAAACCTAAAAAACAAAAAATGTCAAAAACTCCCACAATAACAAGCATGATCCCTCAAGTCCCGGAATGTGGGTAACTGAGGGACTGCCCTCGGCTGAAACATGCACACAACAAACTACTCACAAACTTTACAAACTACAATGGAACAACACCAAAAGGACAAACACAGATTACTCCTTTTCCCTCAAGTACCTTTCGGCAAAAGGAGTGAGGGACTCCTGATGGAGTATATGGCCCAGGAACCCCCGACCCATAGACTCCTACTATTCTGATGGAGGCCCAATAGGCCCAGGGAGCACAACAGGCCCAAAACACAGCGCCCCAAGTACTGAGCAACCCACGTAGCACACTGGGAGTGCCTTCGCCCCCTTGGCCGAAGGCTCCAAATTCTCACAGAATGACCAACTCAAGCGAACAAAATTACTGGGAGAAAACGGCGAAAATCAGTAGCCCTCAGCACCTAGAGCCCTTGACACTAAGGAGGTCCCCGATACTCAGAGCCCTCGGCCAATCACCTACAGCCGAGGACACCTTTCTTGACATAATATCCTCTCCACATGCGCCTGAATCACCGTACCAAGTACGACGTCACATCCAACAGCCGCATTTAATGCGGCCACATGCGGATGTCAACGTCACCCCATTGAGGTGACCCCCCGACCATCAGAATGATGACATGTGTCCCTATCCGGCATTTATTACTACTATAAATAGCGCCCCTTTTCCCCATTTGTGATCCAAGCAAAATACGCTCACTACTTTCTCAACAACATACTCTCTCTCTCTCTTACTTATGCTCTGACTTCTCTCTAGTTATTCCCCGCAATAACCCTTCGGATACATACCCCTGGTAGACTATCCATCAAGTGATATTTAGAAGACATGGCTTATCAAGTAACTCTTTACTTCACTCAATTAATTGACTAGTGTGTTAGTGTGCATATACAAAAACTAATAAACTCAATTCTCATTATAGTAGAATAATAATGTATGGCCTCTAACAATTAAAGACTCACTATGAACAAAGTTTATAATAATAACTATGATAATAATAAAGTAACCATATTTAGTAACAAAACCTATATTATCATAGTCTATAATAACTGCGATAATAATAAAGTAGCTATATTTAGTAACCATAACATTGATAATAATTATTAAAAGTATAATAATGACATCAATATTAACGCTAAATAATAAATTTAGCAATATATATATATATATATAGAGAGAGAGAGAGAATAACGATCATGTCAGAACTAATGGGGAGTATTTATCTAATGTATAAGTCTTTGTTTTAAAAAAACATAAAAAATATTTATTAATATTTCTTTCATATATAGCTTTTAAAAACTAATTCCGGGAGCAAATAGGAATAATTAGAGGTGTCTTTGCACTTTCTAATAGACATTTTGACGTTGTGTTTTTGTATCTGAGATTAAACTTTTTTGTATATTAAAAAGTATAGTGATATACGTAGTATTTCATATTCAAAGCATAACATCATATGTATGTGAAATACTACCTCCGTCCCGCTATGATTGTCCCGTTTTACCTTATCGATTCGTCCCACTAAGATTGTTCCATACCAAATTTGGCAAAGTTGTGTGACTCTAAATCATTCTTACTTTATTCTTACTTTATCAATTCAATATCAACCACATAAATCATTTTTTATTGATTTGCGTGCCGCTCCCTCTTGTCCCATTGTTAGCGGGACGGAGGGAGAAGTTACTTGTAGGGTAATTTAATTTTAATCTATCCTATCTAATTTCATTAAATATATTACGTAGTATTGGTATGTGTTCCAAAATTTTCTGTCAGTTACTTTGATTTTTTGTTGTTGCCCCGGTATTCAGTATTTCAAAAAAGGATAATTTTTTAGTTACTTTTAATTTTGCAAAAAGAACACCGATAATTAAGACATTATCAAAGGGATGTGATTCAAATCTTACTAAAAAAAAGTTTTTTTACACGACAAGTTTAAAAGTGTCTTAAAAGTGTGTTTGTTAATTCGGTATTCCTTTATGTAGCGAACATTTTTAAACCGAGCATCGTGCGTGTCTTCTTATCCCTACCACTGTACCACATGCCTTCTCTTTCTTCTCCCTAAAGCATTCGAGTAAACCTAAAGGCTAAAACAACAGATTTCGCAATGGCCAAATAAATACAAAACGAAAAGAGAGATTAAAATCGATACTTTGAAATTTGTTAGAATAGAAAACAACAAATAACAGTACAAAAAGATGCTTCAATTGAAAAAGATCCCAATATACCAATACTAGCAATGTTTAACGCATGCTCTAAAAATGCATAGAACTTCTTCAAGTACAAGAAATAACAGTATAAAAAGATGCTTCAATTGAAAAAGATCCCAATAGACCAATACAAGCAATGCTTAAGGCATGCTCGAAAAATGCATAGGGCTTCTGCAAGTACCAGAGTCATACCTCCACTCTCTATCTGTCAGTTTGTGATTAAAGTCCAACTTACATCCTCCCATCTAACTGCCCAGTCGATGTTGGAGGGCCCTCAGAGATGGGGTGTCATCTTTTTTTTGCAATGTTTAACGTACACGGTATACTCGAAATGCATGTCTTGGCTTAGTTGGCCTTTTTATTTTCTTACATGTGTTTAAAGGTCAATTTGGTTGGGGAATTTTGAAGAGAGGGAATGTGAGATACCATATATAATTTTAATATAATTTTTACATTTTTGAAAGGAAAAAGCTTATATCGAATTCATTGAAACAACCAATCAAACATCCACCTTTCGGATACCCAAACCTTCCCTCAGCTCTAGACTTCTTATACCCAATAGGCTCTCTTATTCTCTGATTAAATATAGGATAAACTGTCAAGAATGATCAAGACTAATCACTAAACATGCTAAAGATTCGAAATCATTATAGGTCAAAATAGCCTGATTGCTTCCCCCCCAAACTAATAACTAAAGCCCCAAACCAAAGAATAAATCGTCTAACCCCATATTCGCTGAGATGAACAAAAACATACTACCTCCGTAACCCTACAATCTTCCCAGTTTGACTATTTTGGGTCAAACTTTATAAAATTTGACCATTAATTATTCAAAACTCACATTATGTTATGATTAAAAATTTATTTCATATACCTCATTGTAAAATATATTATTTCAATGTTAATTTATTATGAATTTTATAAATATAGATATGTAGATATTTAGAGTCAAAGTTCAACTTAGAAGACTGTGAAAAGTCAAAATGGAAAGATCTTTGTGTTACGGAGGTAGTAGTACTAAACTAGAATTTTAAAATTAAAGCAAGTAAAACTAAACAAAATAAACTTCATAAGCTTCGTCGTGTCACCCTCTTCTTGCTGCCTCTATGAAGTACTCAATCTTATGTTAGGCGAGCCGCTCCATTGCAGCTCGCCTCCTCCCCATTTTTTGCCAGACGCTGATCCACTTCTATATTGGTATTAATGTTTTGGCCTCCCTCTCCTTCTACTCTTCTACACTTTTTCTCCACCTTGCTTCCTTTGCTTGATGAACCACCTTCAAGCAGTCAAGTTTCCTTTCACTTTTAGAAAAACTGAAATAAAGTCAAATAGTATATAACATGGTCTAACTAATTATATAGTTATTTATAGTTTAAAACTAACAAATTTAGATAAATGAGTAAAATAGAAAATCATTCATGCTCTCCCTTTACTTCCAAAATATCCAAACCAAACAAGCTTTTAAATGTATGCGGTGATATTATTAAGGATTTAGCAAACTTTGTTTCTAAATTATTAAAGACAGACTAAATTTACAATATGTTACATGGTCAAGTAACTATATTTGCAACACATTGCATTTGCATAAATTTCTAAAGTGCCACTTCGTCTGTCCCAATTTACAATATTTTTAGATGCATCAAAAAAATCTTATCATTTCCCTTTTTGAAAGGTTTTGTGTGGTTGACATTCATTTACCTTTTTTACTCAACGATAATCATACATTTCCACTTTATTTTCACTTTCTTAAACTTCGATTCAAGTATTCAAATTGGGAAAAATTTTATGAGATAGAGGGAGTACTGTACTTGACAAGAAAATATTTTATTCAAGAGTTTATGGTCTATGCTAAGGACTCATTATCCCTTCTCCCCTGGTTTGCAACCATTGGTCCCTATGCTTGCATTGAATTTTTACAAAATGTTGTGGGGATAATATAAAGGTGATAACTCCGGTACCCATTTAAAAAATGGGATACCGTACCTATCATTCACTTGATTGGTCTACATCATTATATCATTTTTAATTTAGATTTATATAATTCAACTGCAACATTCTCATTGGTCCATGTGGACAAAGGTACCATAGAATCTGCCTAATATAAATCTTGCTTCTATTACGATTAGACAAATATATATATACGATAGTACAAATTAAATAACGTTATGGAAATTCAGAGAACCGCTAATTAAATTAATTAACTCTATGCGAGGGAAGGATGGTGGGACCCAGAATAGGAGTACAATCCTTTATAAGATGAAGAAAAAAGGATATCATATAAGATGTGATTGTTTCATTTTCACTTATCAAAGCCCTCTCCATACATAATTGGTTGTTGGTTTTTTTCAATATATCCGCTTAACCTAGATAGCTAGCTCCAATATATAAATCTTCCTTGAGCAAAAGATCCCAATCTCCCTTCATCTGTTCAAGTGGTTCCAAAAGCAGATCAGGAAAATCCTGAAAAGTCTTCTCTTTTTTCAAGAGAAAGAGATTCTTTTTAGTCTTTTGTTTCTTATCCATCCCTAATTCATCAAAGTTCAATTCATCAATTCAACTAACGTTGTTCAGGATATATTTGGATTTATATTTCCTCCACCAATATGTCTGCTGAGAACCAATTCCATTTCCATGGTGATAGAATGATCAACACATTTCCTTTCTTTGGTGACGAGGATGATCATGAGCATAACAACCCTTCTACTCATCATATGTACTCTTCTGATCATCCTCATGATGAACTTGTCCCCCCATCATCTTATGTGAGCTTCACAGAGAGCTTGCAAGGGTCCATCGACTATCACGCTCTCTCGAATGCTTTCGGCATGTCCTGTTCTTCGCCCGAGGGTGTCCGCGGCGCTCCACCAGATCATCAAGAATCTGTTAGGAAGAGTAGTAGTCTACTGTCTGGTTTAGATCTGCCAGCAGGAGAAAACAGTAATATTCCGTTCACCGCCAATTCATCCGCCTCCTCCTCCTCTAGCGAGGCCGAGGGCGGAGGAGGAGGAGACGAAGATTCCTCAAAGAGCAAGAAAGATCTGCTCTCAACAGATTGTGAAGATGGAGATCATGACAAACCCACAAAACTGTATGTAGCGCGCTCAAGCACATTTCTATATTTAATTTCCATTATAATTGTTATGCATAATTATTAGGGAAAATTTCCAAAATTAAATAGGGAGTATGAGCAAATTTTAAAACAAGTGTTTTTCCTAACTAAGGTAAAAAATTCATTCTAAAATCATTTACTCCGTAGTATATATATTTTGAGACCGCGAACTGCATTACAATTTTAAAATATTTAAAAATTACAGTAATTAATTAATTAATTACTCTTATGTGGAGAAAGAAACGGTTTTACTTTTTATTAAGAAAATCACCTTATTTTTACTCATTTTTAGTAATTTAGAGCAATTTGTCTAACTATTATTTATTTTTTGGTTTAATATTAATTACTCTTACTATTATTACTATTTCGATCTAGCTAGCTAGGTCAAGATTAATTTGAACCTTATGTCACGGCATGGTTTCCTCAATTATAATCTGGAATTTCTAAATTAACTACAGTTTTAACTTGTTGGATTATTATAATCTTGTACTGTAGGCAGTCATGTGCTAGCTAGATAGCTACATAGCCAGTCCTTTCAACCCATTTTTAATTTACAGAAAATTGCGGAGACTTTTGTATTAGCAAAAACAACAGTCCTATTTCCCCGCATCTTTTTACAGGCCGGCCGTGGGTTCGAGATATGTCCATATTTAATTTATTTATTTATATGCTTGAAATATTTGACTAAATCATGCTAATTGAGCTTTTGGTGTTCCCCAGGTTGAATCATGTGTCTATGCCTTACCTATTGTTTGATTTTATCATACATTATTAGCAAACAATTCTCAAAAATAAACAAAACCCTAATTTTAGTTTGTTAGTACTACAACATTTTATTTTTTTTTAATTCAAATTGTGGTAGTAATTAAAGTTAGCTAACCCCTTCCATTTCTGTTCTTGATCTGAATTGAAGAAAATGACCATTTATCTTAAACTGATGGGTAATCAATGCCAGTTTCTGTTTGCTCTTTCACAAGAGTTGCATTGTGATTAAAAGAATTATTATGTGAATTATCATTGTTTCTGCTATTTGTAGTTTTTTTTAATGGCTGCTATTTGTAGTAAATCTTGAATTAATGTTTAAAAGGAACGGACAATAGAATCAAGAAAAGGATAGAAAATAAACCCTAATTGTTTAAGAGGAGCTGAAAATAGAAACATGAAAAGGATACAAAACAAACCCTAAATGTTTGCATTATTTTTGATGATTTTTCAGAAACAAAGGGGCATCGGCGAAGAAGAAAGGGGAAAAGAGGGCAAAGCAGCCCCGATTCTCTTTCTTGACTAAAAGTGAAATTGATAATCTTGAAGACGGCTATAGATGGAGGAAGTATGGGCAAAAAGCCGTCAAGAACAGCCCCTTCCCCAGGTCATATTCAGTCTGGCTATGTTAATTATCAGTTGAATCTTATAATAAATCTATCATAAAAACTTAAGAGGAATATCAATGTGGTATAACAGTAGGTTATATATATTCTAATTAATTTGATATACTAAATGGTTTAACACCAGGCCATATTTATCGACATGATTTTTTTTTTAAATATTATTTATCGATGTGATTATATGAAAAATAGGTTTTCTGACCCGTGGGTTGATAAAACTAATGGCAGTACGTAGTAAATTAGTAATACACTAATAGATACGTAGAAACCGATTCAAAATGGAAGTTCGTCTGAATTCAATTCTATGGTTTCTGATTCAGAAATCCCACTTTGAGTTTTCCATGCCAGAATGCATTATTACGAAATTCAAATTTAATAATAAAAGTTACATGTTTCAGAAATAACAAATTAGAAGAGTATTTGTTACGAATTCAGCAATTATTATTCTCTTTTTATTCAATGATTATTCTCTTCGGTCCTGTTGTCAATATATGGAAAAATAACATATATGTTTGCCCAAAAACCCCATCATACCTAGTTCTAGCTGCCAATGTGACAAAAAAAGTATCCACACAAGTTGTCATTTTTACCGTCTTTGTCGATGAAGGTAAAGTTGACCAATAATAGATTTTTATATGCAATCATTTATAATAGAAAACTATATACTACAATGATATTTTCTGAAAATGTTCTCAGAAAAGTAACTCTTCCATCCTTTAAAACATCGTCAAGTTTGACAGGAATGAGGAATATTGTTCATGTCTCAAACTGAGTTGCAAAATTGATTGTTTAATGTCAAACATATCTATTTTATTCACTTAATTAGGATATCAATTTTTAATTAAATTTTAATTTGGATTTTGCAATTTATAAACATTTTAGTGTAGTTTCTTAATATGTAAATATTAACTATTACAATTACAATTAAATTAATCATCAATAGAGAGAGTTTAGCTTTATCATTGATTGTCAAAATAATGTTGACTTTGTAAAATAATTCGGTACATAGATAGTAATCAAATAAAAATTGTATGATTGAGACAGACATAACAATCACACATCAACTACTTAAATGGGAAACTGACAAATTTTTGGGGGCAATTAGATAGGGAAACATGTCAAAGTTTTAAGGGAAAGAAGAATTGAAGTATAAATTATGGAGTATGATTTTAACAATAACATTGTAGAGAGTTTAACACTATTCACCAAGAAAATCAAATAATGCTATTTTGGGATAAAGGGAGCACTAGGTAATTTTATACAGAGCAAGACATTGTCAAGTAAGAGTAAAAACGTTAACTAATGGATCTTAATTAGCAACTTATATAAGTATTGAAAATGGGCACTACAGGAGTTATTACAGGTGCACTAGCCAAAAGTGCACGGTGAAGAAACGGGTGGAGAGATCATACGAAGATCCAACCATCGTAGTGACGACGTACGAAGGGCAGCACAACCACCACTGCCCAGCAACACTGCGCGGGAACGCGGTGGCGCTGCTGTCGCCCGCTTCCTTCTTGGCCTCGTCTCCCGCCACCGCAATGATGCCTAATTTCCCTCAGGACTTCCTAATAAATCCAATGATGGCGGGTGCCACCGCCCCGAATTACGCCACTTCATTGTACGGGTACCAGCAGCAGCAACAACAGCAGCAGAACGGCCTCAACAACAACTATGATCACATGATGATGATGTCCCAACAAGCTTCCCTTGATCAGTACAATTTGTTCCAGGACGTGGTTGCATCTTCACTCGGCTTTAAACATGACAATCCTTAGATTGAGAGAGGCGCAAAATATATGCATTGTTCGTTGATTTAATTTCGTAAGTATATGGGTGATATGATGGGTTGTCAAAAGCTAGTAGATCAATTTGATCACTTATTGCAATTCTTTTCGTATTTTAGACCTATATATGTTTTTCAAATATTGTTAATTTAGTCGGGAATCACTTAATAATGTCCTAATCTTCTTTTTGAAAAATAAGTGACTTGTCATCTTAAAAATGCTAACAATATTAAGTTGTTCCACACTGGTTGCGTATATGAATACAAACTAACATACAAAGTCTCAAACTACTTCTCCTAACAACTTTACCTTTTAGGATGTAACCCAATGTCTTAATAAACAATGAATTTCAATTTCAGAACGATCAAGATGATAACATTCTGTGGTGCAATTAGGGACTAATTTTAACTCAAGTAAAATGTAATCATATTTCTTACGGAGTATATGTTTACACATAAAACACTATCAATGTATGCATGTTGAATTGTTGAGGTTAATAGCATCCGCCCAAGAGATCAACCCAATGCGGCTTTTGGGGAGTATATCACTAAGTGGATGGTAATAAATAAAGGTAAGCATATCAGGTTCGAAATTAATCAATGAAAAATACTCACAGTACACTCAAGAATAGCCCTAATTACTACACAAAGACCTATCAATGTGTCGGGTCTACACCCAGAACCGATCTGAATACGGCACTCTATTTGAGAGTATGTGTCTAAATTTAGAATCGTTTGTCGGATCCGGATCTGAACTCGTTACATGATAGAGAAAAATGGACTGAATATGAATTTTTAATCAATACAACAATTATACGTACGCAGTATAATGAAGTAAGGTTCGTATTCACAGGGAAATGAATACTTCTCTTTTATGTAACTGGTAACAAAGGGGAGTTTTAGATTGTTCGATCTTTGATTTTAATTATTTTTATTTAATACTAAGATGAATGACTTATATGATGAGTTTAATTAATAGAGACGGAGACTTGGTTTTGCTTATATTCACTTAATGAAATGTTCATCGATCCCGATTATATCTTTAACTATCTTCCTCTCGAATACTCAATCGTGGAGTATCTCCAATTCATCGAGGGTAGTTATTAATAACAAAATGTGTTCATTAATAAAACTTACTATGAAGTCAATATATAACATGCGCTGTATAATTACCCGATAATAGCAATAAAACTTAAGATGAAATCTGTTGAGATTGATAACCTCAACACAATTAAGAATACTGGTTTAATCAATATAATTAATTCACCTTAGATTATTAACCATGAGACACATGCATTAATAATCCAAGTTTACTACCGTTGAAAGAATCGAATGAATAACAAGCGTATTAATCGATCGATTCTAGTAACAATTAATATATGAAACAAAACTAGTTGATCCTTTAAGTAATGCTCGAAATATTAATATTCAAGAAAGATGATTAAAGAAAATAACTCACAACTTACAAATCAATAAGCTTCAATGTAGCAAAACCAAGATGGAAGGGTTTAGCTCCTCATTTGGAGACTAAACATACTAGAAAATATAAAGAAAATACTTGTCTAAACTGAGCTTAGAAGTATATGAGAATTGGTGAATCAAATGGGAAGGAAAGATGGTTTATTTATAGGTGTTTGGAGGTGGCAGTGTCATTTACCCAACTGGGTTTTTGATTTACCCGATCGGGTATCCTGAGTAATTGCGCGGAATCTTCATTAGTCACATCATACCCGATCTGGTTTTTTATTTATCCGATCGGGTAAAAGACAAATCTTTGCCAAATCTTCACCCTGCACGTTTAGTTGCCTCCAAATCAGATTTGATCTTCGAGTCAAGTCAATACCCGATCAGGTATATGCTTTACCCGACTGAGTAAATGACTACTTCCTCAATTTTTTACTTTATCTTGTTCCCTTTCACTTTCTTTGACCTTCCCATGATCCTTTTGATGATCTTTACCTAGTTTAAGCCCAGAAAATTCATAATCTAAATAAACTACAAACAACTAGGAAAAATAAAGCATTACACCTAAAGTGTGTAATTTCCCAAACAACAACAAATAAAACTAGTTAAAACTACACACATAAACACACATAATTCTATACTATCAAACTCCTCCCTATTTAGTCCATTACTCGTCCTCGAGTAAAAATCAACATAGCAGTTCAAAATCCATAGAGACAGAACTAATAAGCAAGTTCAATTCAAGTAAAGTGTTCAACTTTTACATTTTTAACTTGTCATTATATTTCTTGAATCCCAAGAGCTCCCAATTGGAATGAGTTCGTGCATAAACAAAGATAGGGGTGAGCAATACCCGATCCGACCCGAAAACCCGTTCGGATATACCTTTGGTACGCCCACCGGGTCGGGTGACCCAAACCTAAAAAAACCAAACCGAAACCGGTTTCCTTAATCTTTCAGGGTAACGGGTCTCAGGTAGGGTTTTAAAATTCGCTACCCGACCCGCCCGAAAAACCCGAAACTCCAAGTAGTATAAATACTACTTATTCACCTGTAACCCTAACCCTAATCCTCTTCTCTCTTCATCGCAGACCCCTTGTCTCTTCAGTCTTCATCGCAGACCCCTTCTCTCTAACCTAATCCTCTTCTCTCTAACCTCTTGTCAATCCAATCTCTCTCATTCACCCTCCGGGTCCGATAGTTCGTTGTCTGACTTGTCTCTGACTCTCTGCCTCTCCTCTCTGGCCCGTTGTTCCTCCAATTTGGTGGAAGCTTAAGAACGGTGGAACGGTGGAAGCCTACGACTATACGACACTACGAGTCCCTTGTGAGGTATAAAAGTACAAATGTTTGATTTTATAAACTATTATGGTGGTAATATACTATGGTGAATGCCTGGAAGCTCGAATCCTAGATATGTTGTGTACTTGTGTTATACTGTTATTGTCTTTTGATATGTATTCCTTGGGTAATTTTGACTTACTCATTCTTGAATGGTAGAAGCCTATTTACAATGGATTACGGATTTGTTAAATGTTAGCCTCATTGCCTTGATGATGCCTGTTAGTTTAATGTGAAGCATGATAATGTCATACCTCTGTTTGACTTATTTTTATACCTACTTGGCTACTTGACTATGGATTTGTAAATTGTGATACATCTGTGAGATGGTGATGACTGATGCCTGTTAATGTGAAGCCTGATACCTATTTTTGGTACCTATTTCACTATGGATTTGTAAACTGTGATGCATCTGTGAGATGGTGATGACTGATGCCTGTTAATGTAATGACTTATGTCTGTTAATGTGAAGCATGATACCTATTTTTGGTACCTATTTCACTATGGATTTGTAAACTGTGATGCATCTGTGAGATGGTGATGACTGATGCTTGTTAATGTGATGACTGATGCCTGTTAATGTGAAGCCTGATGCCTATTTTTGGTACCTATTTCACTTGTATTCTGAACTGCTAAATAAGATGATGGCTGAATATAATTTTCTGAGTAAACATGATGATTCATATTTCATATATTCTGCCTCATAAGTGTTCAAGTTACCTTTTTCTACTCAAACACTCAAACGAGTAGTTAGAGTGAATTGGTATCTTCTAAGTCTATAGAGAAGAGAATAAGCCTATTGCTTATATCCTTCTGTAGATCACATTGCTAATTGTTCCAGACTTTACTGTGAATGTATTAAAATATTTGTGAGGGAGAACAAATATTTGTATGGAAAGTATGGAAAGCATACAATGCTTGTGTGAGGGAGAACAAACAATTTTCGAAAAACGTCATCATCCAAGCAATTAAAGCCTACACGAGGGACTGGATTTACAGTAACTACAACAAAAAAAGGGTTTCACTTTTGTCCAGACCTCCACTCAGACGGGCTAGTGCCATACATCAAGCAACACAAAACAGTCCCCAAAGTATGCATTAGATGGCACACAGAACAAGGAAAAGAACTTACCCTCAACTCTGACGCATCATTCACAGGGACAAATGCAGCAGGGGGCGGTATACTTCGTGATAGTTCTGGAAACATGATTCAAACAATCACCTTTCGTATACCAGCTTGCAACGCACTACACGCAGAAATTGCCTCCATCCGTACCTCAATATAAGTAATGATAGAAAAGGGTTACCGGAATTTTGAAGCACAAACAGATTCTGAAATATGTGTCAAAATGATTAGAGGGTTTCTGAAAATACCTTTATACCTAAGAGAAGAAGTTGAAACGGTCAACGTTCTGAAGAGAAACCACGCCATCAACATCGTCCACCGACCTCGCCAGGCTAACTATGTGGCGCACCATCTTGCTAGAACAGGTCTCGGAAACCCTACCATCTCCCCAATCTTCTACACTGCAGATACGCTCCCCACAAGAGCGAGAAAGTCCTACATGGAAGACAAAAGAGGAGCTAGTTTGTTCAGAGACACAAGCTGATTTAGCCAAAACAAAGAAATCAAAGCAGAAGAACTAAACGCAGGAGAATACCTGAGGTGCGACGGATTTCTTGAGACCCTCTCTCTACCCTCTGTTTGGTGCGTAACCCGACTGAACGACCAACATTCCCTTGGACGCATTAGCTTTGTTCTGACCTATTCCCTTGGGCCGCAGACAAACATATGAGTGGAGGGCAAAAAAAAAGCACATTTTTCATTTGCTCCTTTGGTTTTTTTTTAACCCATTTGCTTTCCCGTCATTTTCTGTTTTCGGATTATGTTCCTTTGTAATCAATTCTTCTTTCAAAAAAAAAAATTAAAATATTTGTGATTGTCAATATGCGATTTTGTCATTTATGTGTTCATCAATTTGTTGATTGCATTGAAGTATTTGAACTGTCTATAGTTATGTGAATGGAAGGTCAATGTATTGATACCATACCAGCATCTGGTTCTCAACCTCCTCTGGCTTCTTTTTCTCAAGAACCTATGGTGGAAGCTCATGATGTTGGGCGTAACACCAGCACTCAGCAGACAACTGCTGTTGATGTGCCTGATTCTGGAAAAAAGAGAAAGGATGTAGAGTCCAGATCCAGAATATGGGATTACTTTGACAAGATAAAAGATAGCAATGGTGTCCTTATTAAAGGACAATGCAAACATTGTGCTAAAACATATTGTTGTCAGTCCAAGAAGCATGACACTTCATCTCTTAGAAATCACATACTAAACTATCTGAAAATTCC